ACCATACATCCTAAACCCTCCTCACCATTGATTTTAGATCACTTATTCCCTTGTTCCTGGTTTTGTTGGCACCCCCTTCCTTTCCTCTCCTGTGTCGCCCTGGAACCATCAGAACCATTGTTTTCTCCTCCGGATTGTTTATCCAGCCTATCTTATCTAGATAAACATGCAAAATAACAATAAACACAATACAAAACAACAGAAGAAAACAATAATAACAACAAAAAAGAAAAGATTATAAATAATTCCAGGTTTGTTTGTTGACCTTTATGAGTGTATTCTGGTTGAGTCTGATGGGGTGCCATGCCCTGACCCCAAAGTCTGTTTTTGGTATTCCTTGGGGACTTGATTGCTTTGCTCCCCTTGCTGCTTTGTTGTATACCCTTAGTGTTTTGCCCCCATGTGGTGGGGTCAGAACGGGCACAATTCCCGCACTGTGTCTCCAGTGTTGTCCTCCGTAGAGCTATGGCTGACCCAATTTCATTGGAGCCTCTAGTCTAGACTAAGGCAGACTAGGCCTAATTATCTTCTGAGCATCAGCCAATGAAGGCCCTGTGGATCACAAGGGTCCAGTCTTGGGAATGATGCAGGGCTGGATAGCACTTGTTCAGGGGTCACCAGGAGTCAGGGGCCAACTCCAGCAACAGTGTGGCATCCAAACACCTCCCTCGACCCCCACCCCCCCACCGGTTGGTTTTGTTCTTGAGGAGCATCTCACCAGGTGAGTCACCCTGGGGACACCTTTGGGAATGTGACTCTGAAAAGGGAGTGCAGGTTAAGCCAGGACTTCACCATATTTGGTTCCCTTTGCCAGGTCACTTCCTCGACACCAGAACCTTGGATAAGAGATAGTGCACCTGGACTACTCACCATTGTCCTAGGCCTCTTCTTGCTCACTCGACAGAAGGACTCTCTGCATCTGAGCCCATCTTTGGTACCAGAGACGCTGGCAAGTCTATATGGGAGGACTGTGGGCATGGAGATGGGAAGGACATACATTCATACATTGGAAAGCCCAGACTGATGGCCACTTAGATGAGTAATAAGAGCTCCCGAGTTTTGTGTGGGGCGATGATGCACATTGGGGAATCAGTCATGAGGCCGCTTGTGACATAACACAGGGTGTGTGTCATTGGATGCAGCACGCTCTCCTCCCCCACTCCAGGCCACTCACATCTCCGCTCTTTGCTGTTTTCTTGCTGTCAGAATGCACCAGGCTTGGGGCCACGGTTTGCACACGCCCAGGGATGCGTCTATGTTGCCATGCAGAAGCAATGTCAGTGGGCCACTGAGAGTCGTGCACAGTGGTGGCCCGGGCCAACCCCTGCCTGCCACGGGGCTTTGCATAGTGCTTCCCCTGGTGGGGTGCCCTTTGTTTGGTTGGCATGTTTTCATGTGTAGGAGTCCCTGCCTGATGCAAGTGGGTAACATGTTTGCTGCTAATCAAAGGGGTGGCAGCACTCAGTCACCTGGGAAGACCTGGTTAGGCAGTGCAGTGCTGGGGCAGCATATGGGCAGTAGTGCGGACTGCCCAAAGAACAAACACATCTGTCTTGGAAGAAGTACAGCCAGAATCAAGGATGGAGAGCCTTCGTCTTAGGTAGGTTAGATGTGTTATTAGGGGAGACGCGTCCCTAGAAAAGATTATTATGCTTGGTAAAGTGGAGGGGCAGCAAAAATGAGGAAGACCTTCAGTGAGATGGATTGACCCAGTTACTGCCATAACGGGCTTACACATACCATTGTGAGGACGGCGAAGGACTGGGCAGTGTCTCATTCTATTGTGTAAAGAATCACTTTGAGTCAGTAACAATCTGAACAACCTAACAACATCTAGTTAGAGCAAGCCCCCTATTCCTTCTTACTATGGCGTCCTGATTGTGTTCTTTCTAGCTCTTCTCACCATGTGGAGCACGACATATTGACCTTCTTTGATTTTTATTTGTCTTTCCTACCTTACTATCGACTCCAGGAAGGCAGAGAGAGGCTTTGGTCACTGTTGGATCCTCAGTGCTTTGAGCAGAGTAGGCACAGCATATTTGTTGAATAATTAATATGAGATTATCTGCTTGGTAATTTTTTCCTGTCTGGGTAGTGATCGGTTGTGGGGAGTTAAGAGGTACACCAAGGATGTAAGTGGTCTGGTCCTAATAAACACCGGTGCAAGACAAGAGTGAAGCTGCTGTAATGATTACAGTTATGTGTTTCCTTGTCTGAGCCCCATGGCTCTCAGTTGCTTGGCAGTTATGCAGTGATGACATTTGGCAGTTACCGCGTATTGTAATTGGCAAGTATGTAATGATGTAGTCACCCTCCATGTTGTAGTCTGATGTCATCCCCTGTTTTCACACAAGGACCTCGTCCTTGGAACCCAACCAAGTTGCGAAATGAGGAGTAGGTGTGCTTTAGGATGGCGCGTGCCTAGCCTGGCTATGCTCCCGAGGCACATGAGGTAACAGAGAAGTACAGAGAGTGATAGAAATGAGTTTTTATTCATAAAAAGTTACAAAATGATATTGTACAAAAATAAAGTCTGTAGAGAACTTTGGTTGTATAACACAAATGACGGAGACAGATCAGAGAAGTCAGAACTTCCAAAGAAGTGCACTCCTTACTATGTCAGATGGTAACAGCAACGATAAAGAAAAATCACAAACTTTACCCTTTCGTGGATTTGGTGGAGCGGTTTGCTTACGTTAAAACCTGCTTGTAGTGTGTTGATGCTGCTGGGAACAAATTGTCACACCCATTGGAATCCTATCACCCATGTGGTAGGGTACCCTCCTTGAGGACATGGGGGATGAAGCCTGCAAACTTTCCCACCCCATCTGCTATTTCTATCGGAGTCAGGCAGATGAGCTGGGGGCTACATCCAAATGATGCCTGCATAGGACCAGGCAGCTGAGTCTGCCCTGTTCTGCGCAGGATGCTTCTCAGCAAGAGGCCTGCTTTGGCCTCAGAGAGGGTGGGGGCCGGGATGGTTTCCTCTCTCCGAGGTGGGCAAAAGAAGCAGGAAGGACAGAGATGACAGAATGATGATGTTTTTTGGGGGTGGGGGTGGAGGGGACAGGGCTAGGGGACTTCTGCTAACCGATGCTTTTTGGTTACTTTGTAAAAATTTGCAGGAAGCCAGTGGTCATTTCATTTGCAATCTGTCATACTTTGGTAGTTAATAGTCAGGAAGATAGTGATGTGTTATCTCCTTGATAAAAACTTCTTTGGGGAAATTGGTAAGAAGCTCTAATGGAGGGTCCAGCGCATTACACCTGTGCTGTCTACAGCCGCTATTTGTGGGACAATTAGGAGAGAGTGTTCCGATCCAACGCTTCTTCCCCTCCACACTCTTTTATTGTCAGCAGGGTGAGCAGGAGGTTTTGCCAGGCCAGAAGCCTCCCTCCTCCGCCTTGCTCGGTCACCTGCCCCCAGGGCAAGAGTACACAGGAGTAACAATGGTTGGGCCAAGATGATAACTCACTGGCTTTTACGAGAACCAGGTTTTTGGACCCCTTTCCGGAAGGCCATCCGTGTGCTCCGGGGCCTCCACTGCCAAACAGCCTGCATCTCAGGAAGGTGATGGGTGGGCGGGGACACCAGAAGAGTCTCCTCAACCGGACAACATCATGGCTACCTGGCAGAATGGCTTTACTTTGGGGTCAACATTACATCCGGAACTACCTCCTCAAAAGGAACGGAACCTTTGACTTACATGGTTATGCATACTTTATAGAAGGATATATGAGGCCGTGGGGCGGGGTGGGGGGGGCCTTCGATACGGCAGAAAGTGGAGCTTACGGCATCATTTGCTCAGTGGCGGAGCAATGAAGAATAAAGGCCTAGTGCCAGGGGTCACTGCCCACAGGCCCCGGAAAGGTGGCCTGGCGGAGAGACTCTTTCTGAGATACGCATATTTTAAACAAAAAATATGGAAAAGGCTGAAATCTGGGGGAGGTAATTAGGGATTTTAAAAAAAAGGTAAAGTAAGTGATTTTTGGCTAGTAAAAAGACTTAAAAAAAAACTTTCAAAAGCATGGACTCTTGTTCCCAATTAAAATGTCCTTCCCTCACCTTTCTCTGTTTTGTGAGCACATATACTTTGGCACCTTTGAAAAGAAACTTTAATAAATAAGGGGGAGAAGAGAGTGAAATTCATTAGTGAACAGTAATAAATAATAATAACTTAAATTTCAATAAATAGCTTCTCTATATTTCTGTATCTGAAACAGATGCATTGCATCGAGTAGCTTCTCTGGTCACTGGTGACCACACATACACGGAGCTGGGGCGTATGTAACGTCTGTCTCTCTGTAAACCGACAGGCCACCCGGGTCTCTCCTGGCCCCGAGCGGCCAGTGGGGCCCTCCCCGCTCGTTCTCCTACAAGAACGCCAATGAAAGGCCCACCTTGTTTCCTGTTTCCAAGGAGAGAAAGGCAATTCCTTCAGTTGTCAGGAGGGCGGGCGCCGCCTCTTCCCACCCCACCGGCCACATTCCGAATGGAGCGCCCACAGTGCTCTAACCCCGCTGGCCGTCGGGAACCTCAGGCCTCAACTTGCACCTTCGAAGGTTACGCGATCTCTTGCGCCTTTGTGGGGTGTGTTGTCTTTGTCTGGGGGTCTGTCTCAGCTGAGTGACAGCAAAGAACCCTGGCTTCTGACTTGCCGCAGTAACGCGGCACAGCAAGTGGGCTCATCCCAGGATTCCCATTTCTTTGGTGTCTTCAGACACCACCTTGGGTGAAAAGCACCCAAGGGAGACACGGGAGTTTGGGTCTCCACGGGCATCCGCCAGTGACCGGTGAGCGTGGAGTGTATCAGGTGACCCGATGGCAGCACCCAGTCGGGGACACCAGCCCTGGGCTCCGGATGCCGTTGGCTGCGGTCCTGGAGACACGAGACAGCCGGTTCCTCTTTGGCCTGTTCAGCCTTCTGCCCCTGGATCGCCTTCTACCAGGCCCCCACCTCGGCTGCCTGCCTCTGCCTCCTCCTCCTCCTCCTCCTCCTTGGTCCTCATCTTCCATTCTGGGCAAACATCTGCTGGGAACCTTGGTCCCTGACTTTGTACTGTAGCCGGAATGCAATACACAGCAGTCTCTGGAGCCGGAGTCAGATACAGCCGCACCTCTTAGCGGAATGCTTTCTTAGAATGTGGTAAACCAGGTTGTCATCCAGAAAGGACAGGTCGTCGTCGAAGGCCACGGGCCTGCAGCAGGCCTGCCCCACCCTGTCACTCACCAGCCTTCGACTCCGGGATAAGTTTTTTAGTATTTTGTCGTACATATTCTCGGCCGCGTCGCAGGAGCCGCTGCAGTACCGGAAAATCAGCTCCTCCTTGGTTTCGTAGCCCAAGCCCAGGTCCGTGACGTTTAAGTGGATGGCGGTTAAGACACAGCCCCGGTTGCGGCCCCTCGGGCCCCTGCGGCCTTTCCCCCGGGCATTCTCCGGGTGGGCGGCCGCGCCTGGCCGGTTCCGCTCTCGTCTCGGGAGCACGGCCATTTGCTTATCGGGTGACCTTTTCAGTCTTTTCAGGGTGGCTTGAATGAAATCCATGACATCATCAAACTGATCGGGATAGTCCTCCGGCATGGGCGCTGTTTGACAAGAAAAGAGAACAGGTCACATGAGGCCGTGCCACAGGGGCCAGCTCACGCCACTGTCAAGATCCACATGCCCCCCAAAGAGCCAGCCAGCAGTGGGACCCGCAGCAAAGCGACCAGCAGCCAGAGCCGGGCGACCACTGTCGTCCCCCCAGAGAAGAGGCTCAAATGCACCCCTCCGATCCCAGAAGCAGCACGGTCTTGTTGAGAGACTACCCCAGGGGTGGGGGTGGAGGACGGTGACAGCAGGAGACACATCTTTTATTTTGTTCCCCTTGCAAGCGCTCAGAGCAGAGCATCCACCCAGGACCATCTGCTACTTTCTAAGGAGCTGAGACCCTGGGTGGCTGGTGCCGATGGTGGCCGTGCCTGGCCCCTCACTGCAGGGACGGCCTGGCGAGCTGGGCCACTTCCCCTCAGCAAACTGGAGCGCAGATCCACTGTGCACGCGGAGTCGCAAGGACTGATGTCCACTGCGTGACAACTGACGAGAGATGTGGCTGTGAGCAGGCTCTTCCCCTGAGTCCCTGTTTCTGATTGGCAACCTAACCGTGGGTTGGGGTGCTCCCAGGGAGTGGCCTGAGAATGCGCTGGGAGGCTCACGTAAGGCACGGAGAGCCTGAGCCGCGTGGTCTGGGAAGGGTCATATTGTTTTGTTTTTTTTAATCAAGCCCCAGAGGAATTCTGATGTAGGTGGTTCCAGAACCGAACGTTGAAATACATGGTCTCGGAGAGTCACCACAGGATGATCTTGGTTGGATTGGATGGCTCAAACCCACCAGCCGTTCCTCTGGCGAAAAGATGAGGCTGTCCGCTCCCGCTGAGATGTACAGGCTGGGAAACCCCAAAGAGCAGCTCTACTCTGTCCAACAGGGTCGGTCTGAGTCGGCATGGGCTTCATGGCAGGGGGCCTGGTTTGTTACTTGGGATTGGTGAGGTCTTTCAACGTCCAAGGGGGATTCAACAAATTTGTATGAAATGGAAGGAAAAGCTAATGAGAATTTGAAGCCCCCTGGAATTGCCTTAGGTTGGATACCTAGCTACTGGGACATTTACCGGGACTCAGCATCTCTGCCTGGCTGAGCGGGTCCAGAGCCATTTGGAGAACACAATTGAGTCGAGTTTTAAAATTTCCCTGAAAAGCCGCTAGGGACTAAAACCAAGTCTACTTGCCACTAACAAAGCGATTGCTTCACCACCTCCTTGGAACAGCTGAACTCTGGAAATAGCGTCCAGCCATATATACGCTGGCATGGAAAGGCTTCCTGGGAATGCATGGAAACAAGATGATGTTTATGGCTGGATCCAGCCCTGATGCCAGACGATGCCAGTAACCAGTCCTTCGCTGGCCCTGGCTGCTGGAGACCCTCGGCGTGCTGGAGACCCTCGGCGTGCTGGAGCAGAACTGTGCTCCTTGGGCTTTTCCAGGGATTGCCTGTCTTTTCTTGGGAGCTGCCTCTGAGTGGACCTGAACCTCCCCCCTTCCAGTTAACAGCTGCGTGGCACCGGCTGTGGCACCGGCTAGGTACTCCAGGGGCCGTCGTTGTCGATGGAGTTCTTGTGTGTCATCTATTCAACTCCAACGCCGAGGGAACTTACAGGACAGAAAAGAACTGCCCCCTAGGGCTTCCTAGACTGCACTCTTTACGGGAGCAGATCGCCAGGTCGCTTCTCCTTCGGAGCTGCTAGTGGGTTTGAGCAGTGTCCCTGCTGTGAACAGCACAGGAGAGGTGAGCTTTGGTGTGATTCCACTGGGGGACTGGGGTGAATCCGCGAGTGTGATGACACCTTTGGGGGGGAAAGCATGAATTAGTCATTCTTGGTGTTTTCAGCAGCGTCTTGGTGTCTATTTCAGCCGATTATAGAAGGGGAAAAGAACCCTTTTGAGCAACTTAATACAATGAGAAAAAGGAAAGCAATCCTACTGACTATTTCTTAGGTACAGTTGCCCCATGGTATGGGTGGGGGTTTGGGTCCAAACCAGAAAAGCAAACTCACTGCCACCGAGTTGAAGCCGACCCAGAGCAACCCTATAGGACAGGGCAGGGCTAACTCAGTGGGCTTCTGAGACTAACTGTTGACAGGAGCAGAAAGCCCGGTCGTTCTCCTGCCAGGAACTCAGGGGACGCCAAGATCTGGGCATGTTCCAGTCCTTTATAGGAACTGGCATGCTATTTGCATATAACCTATGTACATCCTTTAAGTGGATTACTCGTAATACCTAATACCACAGACATGCTATATGGAAATGGCTCTTAACACTGCCTCCCGTAATACCTAATACCACAGACATGCTATGGAAATAGCACTTAACACTGCCTCCCTCGGCCTTGGCATGACTGCTGTGACCACTTAATGGCTCCATTCCTGCCCAGCCTTGGCTCTTTTCATTCGGAGTTTAGCTGAGTCCATGGATGTGAAGCCAATGGATACGGAGGGCTGACTTTCCTAGACTTTTTATGCTCCCACACCCCATTTTCTGATAGTTCAGTCTACATTGGGTTCTATGTAGTTTAGAAAGATTTCCTTCAATTTGTTTCATTCAACAGCCTTGTCAGCAAGCGTGAATGTTCTTTTCCCCCCAGGACGATGTCAATGTACAAAAGGAATATGCCATGCCTAACTCGTGTCAATGAATAACCTTGACAATGAATAAGAAAGACTGCCGAGAACTGGTTCATTTGAACTGGGTTGGTGAAGAATATTGCCCCTGTCATGCCTTGCCAGGAGAATGAACAGATCTGTCTTGAAAGAAGTAGAGCCAGAATGCGCTTTAGAAGCGAGGAGAGTCTTCATTTCATAGTTTCTTGCTTCATTTGGATATGTCTTCAGGAGGGACCGGTCTCTGGAAGAAGGACATCATACTTGGTAAAGCAGAGGGGCAGTGAAAAAGAGGAAGACCCTTGACAAGATGGATTTGCATCACCTGTGCAAATGATACAACAAGGGGGCCAAACATAATGACAGCAGTGAGGAGGTGCAGTACTCGGCAGTGTCCTGTCTGGGGCACCTGGGGTCACTATGAGCTGACACTGCCTCAACAGCACCTAACAACAATAACCTGGACAAAAGGTAGCTCAGGTGACTTGCCTGGGAGCTTGAAAGGACCCTAGTGAGGAACGAGGCTGCTTGGAGCCCTTGGTATCTGACCTGTAGTGCTGGGTGGTCCTGCTGCACTGAGGTCAGGAAGCTCTGCCCTGGACTAAGCCCTCATCATCTTTTGTCTGGACAACGGCAACAACCCCCCCCACCCTGCCCACCAATGGCTTCTGTCCTTCTGCCTTTGTCCCCCTTCAATCTCTTTCCCATCCAGCAACAAAAGGGTTCTCTTAAAATGTTATGTTAGATCATGTTCTTCTTCTGCCCCAAGCCCTCCAATAGCTCCCACTTTCTCTTGGAATAAAAGCCAGACTCCATGCTGTCTTAAGAGCTCCCCTGACCTGGCCACTTCCTAACCCTTGGCCTCCAACCTTATCTCCTATTCCTCTTCTCTGTGTGTCCTTTCAGATGCACGACTGCTTGTGAATCCTCAAACACAGGACTGTCCCACCTTGGCTTTATTGACATTTGGCGTGAGATCATTCTTTGTTGTGCGGGCTTTTCTAGGACACTTGACAGCACCCCTGGACTCTGTCCACTAGATGCTGTTAGCACCCTCCACCCCAGTCACCAGACAGGAAAGTGCTTCCAGCCGTGGCCAAATGTCCCACGAGGGTGGGAGGTGTGGGTTGGGTGCAAAACCATCTCAGGTTAAGACCCAAGACTTAACACAACCAGTGACTCTGGGCTGCTCTCCTGGCTGTTCCCCCTGCTATTCCTGCAGAATCCCTACTTTACTCAAATACCACCGCCATCGATGCCTCCCTGACCTGCCACCCCGGATCCTGATCCTCCTGGCCTGCACGTTCCCCCCACAGTGGTTGCATATATATGTGTACCACCTATCTAATGGACCTATTTACTCAATTTCTTATTTGTGGTCTGTCTCTTCTGATAGAATGTCAGCACCACCAGCACGTAGGGATCTTTGCCTAGCTTATTCACAGATGGATTTCAAGTGCTCAGAAAAAGGCCTGGGCCATAAGAGACCTTCAGAAACATACGCTGAATGAACGAGGTCCCTTTAACAGGAGGGCCCACACAAGTTGCTGTGGAGTTGATTTTGATTCATGGCCACCCCATGGGGTGTTTTAACAGCTGCTTTCTCGGAAGTTGAATGTCAGGCCTTTCTTCTGTGGTGCCTCCAGGTGGGGCATATTAACTGTTGGCACCACCCAGGGACTTCAAGAGTGGAGAAAGCACACCTAATTTGCCCAAGACGGACGTGGACTTCCGATGAGGATGGCATCATTGTGGAAGGAGTGTCTCCAAGATGAACTGCTTCTGTTACAGCCGAAGCCGCGAGGCCCTGAATAGCAGAGCTCTCTTCCACCCGCGAGTTGAAGAACCACCTTCGAGGATCCTCAGCTTTCTGCAGCCTCTGACGCTCTCTCAGTGCCCACCTCCTCCTGGGTCTTCACCGAAGGCTCCCGCTCCCGAGCGTAACAGAGTCATGAGAAAACTCAATGCCACTGAGTCTAGTCTGACTCAGAGACCCTCTAGGACAGGGCAGAACTGCCCTGTGGGTTTCTGGGACTGTAGCTCTTTACGGGAGTAGAAAGCCTTCCTTTTGTCTCCCAAGTAGCAGCTGCTGGTTTCGGACTGCTGCTCTGGCAGTGGACAGCCCAGTGCATAACGGACTAGACCAGCAGGGCCCTGCAGTACTGAAAAGACGGAAGGCTCTTCCTCGGACATTTCCTCTGAACTGCTTTCTAACCGGACTTCCTCAAGGCATTTTTTTGATTTTTCTTTTTTCCCCTTAACCTTTGCATCTCTTTGAATAAGACATAGGACTGAAGTCACTTCGATTGCACATGAACTACTTTTCCCTTTGGGGGCTCTGATGGCGGTACTGATTACCTGTTGGGCTGCTTACCAGAAGGTCAGCAGTTCGA